TTCATGGATTTTTTTTTCACATTCTGTCTCTCACAGTTGAAGTGTACCTCTGGTGCAAATTACTGACCTCTGTCATCATTTTAGGTGGGGGAATTTGCACAATCGGTGGCTGACTAAATACTTTTTTGCCCCACTGTATGTGAGGAGCAGGATTTTGAATTCTGGATTTAACAAGGAGCCAATGAAGGGAAGCCAGGATATTTTTAATTTTAGAGATATGCAAATGGAAGAAAGCAGTCCAATAAATTTGTTTAACATGTGCATTGAAGGACATGTCTTGGTCAAAAAATGACTCCAAGGTTCCTCACAGTGTTACTGGAGGCCAAGGTAATGCCATCCAGAGTAAGAATCTGGTTAGAGACCATATTTCTAAGATTTTAGAAGCAGAAAATTAGAGGTCATCCAGGACATTCCTGCAGTTTAAGCAATTCGTGTGTGTTATCTGGCTTCATGAATAGATAAAGTTGACAGATAGATAGATAAAGATAGATAAAGTATATAATGTTCTCTCTGTTTTGCACAGTTGAGTGTGTCGGGACACATTTTACTGCGTGTTGTATTTGTATATTTATGCGACATTTGTGTGACAAATAAAGGATCTTGAATCTTGAAGTTTGGTGTCATCTGCATAGCAGTGAAAATGTATGCTATGTGTAGACACAACATCACTCCCTTGAATTAGGTGCCTTGATTCCTAGGTCAGTGTTCAGTGCTTCAACAAGTGACAAAATAATCCTCTGAAAATGGTCAGATATCAGGAGTCGACTGAAAATGAGTGAAAAGCAGAGAAACTTCAGAAAACCAGGAGCTCGATTATATCAGATCACTTTTAAAATGATGGCTGTTTCTGTGATATTTGCAGGAGCACCTCTTACATATTTGTTATTATGTGAATCTGCAAATGTGCCTGCAGATTTCTGTACCATTTTATCTGGTAACAAAATTTGGTACAGGGCACTAAGTGTCCATGTCAGAATAAGGGGTAAAAGGAAACACAGTGGCTTGTAATCTGTATACACAACACTAGAGGTCAGTGTTTTACCAAGCATACCCCTGAATCCATTGATGCTAGAGCTCACAAGTTAGATACAAAATAGATCCAGAAATAATGAGCCAAGAGCGATTCTGGGGAATTTTGGACAGTTTGGGGTTTGTTACAAACTGGTGGACTTGCACGAGCAGTTTGTAACAGTGACGGATAAATGTTGAGGAACAAACGCAGCACACCACATTCTGATTTCTGTTGTCTTTATTAGTGGAATGGAATATACACCTCTGTGCTTTAATGCTGTTTTCTCCGTCATTCATCCATCGCTCCTCACTCTCTCTCTGAGACTGAACATCAACACTTTAACTCTGAGGCGTCTGAAATGCTGCTGATCATCTCATCTAAGCTCCCATTGTGTCACCTCAGGATCAGACCAGTGTGCTTCAGTCAGGTTCACCTGACATTTAAAAAAAAGTGACATTTAAATTGAATTACCTGTGCTCAAATGCTTTAGAACCACCACATCATTCTCAAAGCAACATAAATAAGTTAAAGAGCAACTTAACACCCAGTTTTAACTGGAAACAGTCTTTCACACATTCATCAAATCTGTTGCACACATAACTCTGGTTCTATGAGTAGCCTTTGGGCTTCTGGAAACATATAACAGTGTAAGCAGTAGACAGAGTCAGAAAGAACAGTTTATATTTTTCCCCAAGACTCCGGATCCTCATCAGGAGATTCCTGTTGCTTATAAATCTAAACACAGCATTAAGGAAAATTGTTATTTTCTCATTACTACATTACATTTAATTTCATCTCATTACATTTCTCATTAATAACTGGAATTATTAGGTTGCTCTTTAAACCTCGTGCTGAAACTGTGACATACAGAGAACATCTGACTGGAGGGGGGGGGGGGGGGGGGGGGGGTTAATGGATGAATTTGGACCTGCCGACCAATCACAATAAAATCTATGACTGCGGTAATCACTACACTTAAACCGTGATTATTACATCTCATGGTCAGGCCAGTCCCCAGGACAGCGTCACCCCCTAAATCACTACACGTATGCCCCGTTGTAAGCCATGACTGAAACGTATATATTACATCTCTATGAAGGTTATGACAGGACTAAATTACCAAAGCAGGACGCTCAAATTTAAATTTAGATGTTTCCTGATTTCCAGAGACAACAAAGCAACATGACATTAAACAGCAGATCCCAGTAAATTACAGTCAAGCCATGATTCCCAGCCATGGCTCCACCCATCAGCATCTGCATGAGTGACAGTACCTCACTCAACTTAAAAAATGAACTTGCTTCACAGTTTTGGAATTTAAAAGTAATAATAATTAAAAGAAACGTGTAAGGTAAAGGAAATGTAAAAGCAAAGTCAGAGGGCCAAAGAGGCCACAGCGTATCAGCTGGCTAATTGAACACAACCTATTTTTAAGTTTGATAATAACTGACTTAAAGAGTAAGCGAGTGGGCATCAATGCGCCTTTTTTGTGTAATTGTCATTTGACACAGACAGTGGGGGGGTGGATGCCAGCTGGAGGCCATAGCTACAGAATAAAGCGAAAACATTGAGACTGCGAAGGTATTTCAGAAAACAAGCCAAAGATCCGTCCAGCCCGTCCGTCCAGTCCCCGCTCTCTCATTAAACTACAGGAGAAAACAGATAAAATACCTATAACGGTATCCATGCATATTTGTGACTGCTCATCATACGAACACATACACGCATTCACACGTACACGCACAAACAGCCGCCCGACCTCGCGCATACACACTTTGCATTCTGGCGAGGAACATGCCTGAATGATTCACTGATAATAATCTGCTTCTCGGTAATCTAACTGCTCGGTGGTGCAAACACTCGTCTTGAAAAGATTCAGGGACAGAGGGGATGAGGAAAACAAACCAACAACTGGCAGGAGAGAAAACAATAAGAGTCGTCATGCAAAAGAACAGATGATGAGATTTTCTTCCCCACTATGTCGTGTTTTTTTCTCTTTTTTTCTCTGATATGCTTTATGAATTCCTATGATCAGTAGTGCTACTTCTACTGTACGAGGCTCATGCACGAAGGAACGCCAGTCAGATACCCGATGACTTTCATCTCTTTTTTCTTTTTCTCTATTTTTATCTTTTTTTTTTTTTTAGATTTGAGGATTTGATTGGAAGATGCGGGTGAAAGTTTATGATACAAAATATGTTACAGTATGTACCTCTTGTCTTCTGTCTGTGTGTCACGCATTCACACTTGCTCTTAAATGGTTCAAGGAAACGCTTCAACAAATCGCTCGCAGCTGAGCTCACACGTGGCCGACGGCGTCCACTCTTGAAAAAGCATGTATGGTTTTGAATGCACGTGCTGACGTATATTTAAAGGGTAACTTTCAACACATCTGAGCACGAGTCTCCGCCCAGTGAGCGCTGACGCTACATGCTTCCATAGATGCAAACAGAGCCTTTATTTTACTCAAATCAGTGCACTGAACTCAGTTAAACTCATATTGAGTTACCATTTCTTTCCGCCTGCATACTAAGAAGTAAAAACATTAATGTTCAACTTCAAATCCCATTTGTAGAGTTGTGATCATTATTTTAGTTATACAAGATTTAGATTTTTGTGGATTTAGCTGATAACAGACTGAGACTCTCGCACAGATTCCTCTCTGTCAGCTTTCAGATGCAAGTAAAGGAGTCTGGAGTCAATCTGGTCGCAGAGCGGTTTCATTACAAGTGTAAACATGATTACCAGGTGTATCAACAACATTTCTTTTACAGTTATGAAGTGATTTTGTTGGTTTAAAAACGGACTCGCCCGATCCATTAACAGTAACATACTTAGCTGACTTACTGTCCAGCTGATAGATGTTCACACGTTTGAATGTCACTGGCAGCCTCGTGCTCAGAGAAACAACTATTTGTAAAGAAGCATCATGACTTGTTTAATTGGATTATACATTTAAAAGAAATAAAACAACTAAAAATTCTAAAAGTTTCTCATTTGTTGGAACTTTAGTTTAGCATCATAACATTACCTTATGTTATAAGAGCATGTTGGCAAAAGATTAAATAAGCTCTATAAATATTGTGGATGAGTTACTCGTAATAAAGCCTTTAAAAGCATGAAGACATTACAAAAGAAACAGAGGATTAATGATATAAACAAGCGTGAATCATTGCTCATGTGGATGTTTTCCACTTCAGCAAAGATGTGAAAAACAAGCCTTTTTCTTCCAAAGTGTCCGTCGTCGGGGCGAACGTACTCTCAGCGCTTAAAGAGCTTTCAGTGTCGGCGTTTCCTTTCCCCTTCAAATCTATTGCAGAATACTCGTTATGTTCTCTCTCAGTGGAAAGATCGCATAACAAATGCATTTTTTTAGTTGCTTTACACTTTGTTCCCTGCAATAATTACTGTAGTTTTAAACACACACATTATAACTGTTATTAATATTATTCTGTTCATTTGTTGATGCTATTTTCCTGCTTGTTGTAATGTTGCATATTTTGAAAGGTAAAAGGCTCTTGATCCCGGTCTGGGCGTTAGTGTCAACACTGACAAACACTTCAGAGCTACAGTCAGACTAGACCAGAGTAATCCAGTCCAGGACCATTAATTTAACTCTCCACAGTTTATTCAGAAAACCAGGTGAGTCCAGTGCTGCTCAGACCAGCTCCTTAAAGATGCAGACTGCCCAGTGTAGTTTTGCGAGTTGCTCAACAAAGATTGTTGGGTTTCACTGAGCTTCCCAAATTATTTGAAGGTCAAGTGATCAAGAGTTCCCCTTCATGATTTCCTTGATTTTCTAAATATGAGACCTTCAGCTGCTCAGCGAGAACCGTCAGAGAGCTCGTCCAGAAACTCTTCAAAAATCCATTTGAGTGCAGATGAGTCTTTCAGCTTTTTGTTTAGAATTTAAACCTTCATGTTTCAAGCAAAAGAGATCCAGAAGTGAACTTAGCTGTGCAGCACTGTCGCTCCATTCAGGCTTCAACATGTAGTCTGTCGTTGGAATGAAAAGAAATCCAGCCAAAGAAAACAAAAGTTCCGGCACACGTTTCCTACAAGAAAATAAAAACCTCAAAATGTCTTAGCTATGGCCCTTCAAGCTGCTGAGGGTTATTTGGTTGTCTACAGGTCATCTCCATTAAATCTTTTACCAATAACTAAACCAGCCTGTTCTAAATGATCCTCTGGTGGTTGTTGGTCCCTCCCAAAGCAACAGGCAATGCTCTCTTGTTTTTATAAAACCACTCAGTCCATTCATGTCGAGTTTACACTGAAAAATAAAACTTCTGTCGTCAGCAGTCATTTAGCATGCCTCCTCTGAAGGAGGGAAAACGAAGCCAGCCAAACCATCAGCCAGTTCGGGATGACTTTTGGAGTCTTGGCTTCTTTTCCACTGATATTTCAGGTTGAACCCTTCATGGGTTTGTGCAATGAGATCTAAAAGGTCAAAACTGTGCAAGGCGGGTCAAATGTGTGCAAGGAGACAAAATGCATGAGGGTGGATCCTAAAGGTTTAAGAAGGTCTTTTGCTTCGTTCATGAAGTTGTAGCTTTTGATTTGAGCTTTTTTTTTTTTTTTGAGGTTCTTATTTTTCAGTTGTCGTTGGATGTGGTCGTACATTTTGCTTCCCATCTCACCTGCCGTTTTAGCTATACGACTGTTTAATCCATGTAACCAGCGAAATGTATGTGGAAGTTAAAGCAATCAGTCAGGAATCAATCTGAGTATTTTCTTCCCGATATTTCAGCTAGCAGCGCCCCAGATCCAGGATCAGAGGTTCAAAGGAAGGTCACTGGGAAAGTGGCTGGTGGGGCGGAGGGGTGTCAGGAGGGATGTCATGTGTGGAGCTGGAGGTTATAAGGAGGAGATTTTGACGGTTTCATGGGTAAAAGCTGTTGCTCGGGTGTTGCGCAGGATGCCGGGGATGGGGGCAGGCGATGGGGGGAGGCTTTCGTCCGGTGTGTTGGCCGGCGGCGTGGGAATGCTGATGATTGCAGCAGTGAAATCTTGTTCCCCGCAGTTCAGCTTTAGGTTGTCAGCCTGGGCGTTCAGACTGGAACGACTGAAATAAAGAAAAAGAGAAAAGAAAAGATAAGCAAAAGGTTGTTTTTTTATTTTTGTGATAAATTTAGATACGCAGGTGTGTATCTTTATCTGATTATAGCATCTGTGTTTACGTTTGTGGCGGTATGGAGGTTGTTTTGATATGCAGGGTGTCCAGTTCCTGGACGCTCCCCCGGCTGACTGATGCAGTGGAGTTAGCCAGGCGCATGGCGGCTCGCCTCCTGGCCCTGCGGGGGCAGCAGCCGGTGGGGTTGTTCTGTGCCCCCTGCTGGCTGGATAGAGAAGTGCTGCGACTGGTCCTGAAGCCCACTGACTCAGTCATACACAGCTCGCTGTAGGTCATCTCATCTGTGAACTCATGGTTCTGTAAGCAGAGGCAGGAAGGAGGGAGGTCAGCTGAAGTTTCAATCTTGCATGTGTGGATTGTGGAAGATGCGCTTTTGCATTTCTCTGAAGTCGTAAATCTAAATCTTTGTGATTTTCTGCCTCTGCATATTTTTGTGGCCTAATTTGTATGTTACAGTTATACAGTCTCTTAAATATATATTTTTTTCTTCTTATTTCTTTTATTTTTGAGATATTTGTGTTATTTTTAGGGTGTTTTCTGCGTATGATTGTCTTTTTGTCTTTAGTTTTTCCAGATGAAGCTGTTGAAATTCTTCTGTTCATTTATCTATGTGTGATCTTCAGTCTGTGACTGCTGACCGTCTTAAAAAGTGAAGCTAAAATATCTCTCTCTCTACACTGAATGACTGTAAGCTTATTTTAATGGCATGGATGAAAAGGGCTGAATGAAATGTCAATTTCAAAATGTACTGAGAGAATCCAGAAGGGCGACTTAAAGGAAACTTTGGTGAGTCTGTTTATCCAGCTTCTGTTTCTAGGATCAGAAACAGAGTTTATATTAAGGCTTTGTACAAAGACAAAGAACTGCTGAAGATATTTTAAACTGGTGTTCAAAAAAGTAAGAGGCAGCTTGAGTTCTGTCTGCATAAGATGTAATAGTTGATGGTCCTGAGGGAAATTAAATGTCTGAAACTTCACCGTTGTCTTCTCCAGACAGTGCAGCAGGTGGTGGTGTTGGTGCTCGAAAGCCGATCTGTTCTTCACACACAGAGCTGTGCTATCGCTGTCACGACCCTGAAAATACACACACGTAATAAAATTTGTTTAATAAATAGACTGTTTTGTAGAATTGGTGATGATAGCTTCACACTTTGAGGTTCTCTTAACAAACGTCCTTAATAAGGTTGTTTGCAGAATTCAATAATAAGGATTTCTCTTATGATCAACACTTCTTTCTACAAAATCTTAAGTTCAGTTCCTCTTTTTAATGTCAAATATCAACACATTCATGTATTCAATGAATATTTGTAGGCTCATACTGGTCTTTGTTTGCTTCTTTGACCAGTAAAACCACAATAATCACTTTCTATGTTGGGTCTGCTATGTTTGATCCTGAGCAATCCAGTGCAGTGTTAAATCTCCTTTGCACTCATGCTCATAAAACATGAGTGCAAATGAGCTGAGCTTGCTGTTTGTTAAAGGAATATGTACAGTGGTGCTAAAGTAGTGAAAAGGAGAACGGGTTTTAAAGCTACATATCTGTTATCTATATCATATTTTATCATATATATCATATTACACCAAATCAAATATGACTAAAGTAAGACTCTGGAAATGGAAACTATCTGCATTTAAAGGTTTACTGAAGAAAGAGGAAAGAGATAAAGCTGAGATGAGTCGGATGTTATGTAGAAACTCGCATCATCGGCATAAAAAACAAACAAGTACTAATTCCTTGAATGTGTTGGCTCCAGGCTGTAATGATGCCTGGAGTTTTCCAGGCAAATGAAAACATTTTTTACATGCTACTGGTCACATTGTCAGGAAACACTTGATTGTCGACAAGCTGGTCGACGGGCACAAACTAACTTTTAGCTGCATAACACTTCATACACGTGACAAAAGTTCAAAGTGCTTCATAGAGGAAACAGTTGCAATGTAAAAGTAAAAGAACCTGAGGACACAAGAAATGAAAATGTAATAAAATAACAAATCTTATTTTTAAAAGGAAATTAGGTGAAAATAAAAGTAGAGGAGGCAAAATACAAGGAAAATGAGAACATTTACTCGAATATGACTTCTTTTCCACTGGGTATCAGAAAAATTTGAGATGCTCTCAAATTTTGATACCTCTTGAATAAGCACAAAGCTGCCAACTATTCCTGAACAGAAACAGTCCATTTATTTGAATACAGTTTTCCCAACTCCAACTAAATGAAGGTACTTTCAGCCACTCCTTTATTTCCCAAGGGTCCCTACAAAGGATGGATTCAAGATGCCTTTCTTTACACCACCCGGGTTTGTGACCTACTGAGTTTCATTTTTCCACCTGGAAACTATTCAGGGATTTTCATGGTGAATGTGTTAATCAGTAAGCTTCAGCGTTTGTGCTTTGTTTTTTTCTCTTTTTGCATTATTGTTCAAACTTATTTCAGCTGCTGCTCTGTCTTCTAATCATTTCATCTTATTTGCAGCAGGGGAAGCATAAATAGATCAGAACATCTATTTTTGAGGTACGTGTTTCTTATGAGACTCATGAGTTTACTTTCATAAACTTGTGAAATGTGGGACATTGTCTGATTATGTGGGGCGGCGGGCTGAGGGATAAAGCTGCTGTACAGTCCCACATAAGACGGCACACCTGTTCAGAAGGACCATACTGTGTTTTCACCACTTTTACGATGCGTTCCTCTAACAGCTGCCGGCTCATACTGAGGTTGTAATAAAATAACTGCTTTTTTAAACTGTCACAGTTAAATAATCTGCGTTTAATAAAAGATTAATAATGCAGCAAAAAGAGGCTTCTGCATACATGCACTTTAAACAGTAACTTTTTAACTAATATTTGCTTGCACTTGTAAAGGAGTCATTTTTAATGCTGAGACTGTGTGATTTCCACCACTGGATTGGATGAGCTCATAATCTTCCCTTTGGCTCAGTCTCCTGAGACAAATCTTTGATTTAAAATGCAGAATTTTTTTCCTAGAATTCAGTTTTTTTTATCAGTAACTCATCTTCAGTTCACATTTCTCCACATTAATAAGAAACAACTGCAAAAGTTTTCCTTTCATGTTTTAAAAGGCCAAACTAAGAGCTGATCAACATCTTTAAGACTCTTTTCTTCTTATTTTAATCACCTTTATCTCGCTCTTTCTCATTTTGCTTTGTTTTTTTTTCAGCCGGCTTTTAATTGAGTTTTGTTATTTCCCTAAACTTTTTTTCACGTGTTATGATGAAGAAAAATGAAGCTCTCTTCTTGCCCTGTAGCACGGATTTCCTCCCTTTCTCCATATATTTGCCACTTTCTCTGCACCCCATTTTTCTTCCTCTTCACCCTCATTATGCACTCTTTAAATCCAGCAGTCATCCCTCATTTTGGCTCAGTGCAGCAGAGAGATTAAGAGTCAACAATATCTGTGTGAGTCTCTGTGTGAGACCCATCCACTCACCCTCTACCTGAAGCCTAAAGCCGTTTTCATGATAAAACATTTAAACCCGGTGAATCTTTCATCCTCTTGGCTGAAGAAAAAACTGAGAGTCTGAGTCACGATTAAGCTGAAAGATAAAAAAAAGAAAGTTCCTCAGATCTGCAGTGATTTAGATCCAGTTTATTTTCAGAATGTAATAAAAATATTCCTGCAGGTTCACACTGTGGGATGCATCCATCTAGTGAATAGGAACAAGACTAAAAGGCCGAGGGCTCCTCTGAATCTTTCATACTCCTCACACCCCAACAAATTATGTGAGTTCTGAAATTATAACAAAAAGAAGAAACCATTCTTTTCTCTAGTCTGAAAATGTTGGACAGTTATTGGTATTTAAATGGAAGTTTAGAGTGGAAACTAAAGGACATCTTTAATCACATTAAGTGTGGCTGTTCTGTCACATAGCTAGCATCACTAGCATTTTAGAGAAATATATACAAGGAAAAGATGCAAAAATGGTGCAGTACTGGACACCGAGAGATAGCTGCCCTATTTAGAGTTTCAGATTATTTATTTTATTTTGGCTTTTCTGCTGCGTCCCAAACAACAGCTGGATCTAAGGTGCTAAAACTGTAGGCTCACCCAGTTTGTTTAAATGTGATGCCAAAGGTTTCTTTAACAAGCATCCATTCAAGGAGCTGGAACTAACAAACATCTCACTATGACCTAAAACCAGAGTCACACTGGGGCAACAGTGTTTGGAGTCTCCATGAACGGCCAACATTAATGCAACTTTTACCATCTGTTGCCATCAACATACGCAGAAATTCCCATTAAACAGAGTTTGAACTAAATTAACTAACTGCTTTCATTCAGAGTCAGGCTAGAACCTCGTACATGTGAAATAAACATTCTGAAATTCCTGCACAAATAGAGATGTAGTTGCTGGAGGATACAAATTCAAGAGCAAAATGACATTGGCACTCAGCAACTTCGCTTTTATGTAGAAATATAGCCAGGATGCAACCGGTTTACGGCCCCTATGCAAACAGACCGACCACAGATGAGTTGTGCTGATTGGGCCAGACCAACTGTGACTCATTGCAAACTAAATCTGTCTGCATTTATAAACTCAATTCTTACTCTAGTGCGACTGAGCTATAAACTCATAATATGATTCACCACAGGGCAGCTTTTTTGGGACAGCAGTATCTTTGATGAAGCATGGGCCCATTTACACGCTGAGGAAAGTTCCTGATCAGTTTTAACATTTACTCTCTCATAGTTTTCCTGACTGTAAAAATGGGTCTGGCTCTTGTGGGTTAATGCCGAAATATTATATTAAAACTGTTTTGGTTGTCAGCTGCTTTTTAATTATTCTGATCATGTGTTTAATGTAAAATCTTAATCTGCAGGTGTATCTGTCAACGAAATGTAAGATAATATCAGAAGACTCTAATTAGCATTCAGGGTTATTTCATCCTGCTGAGGTTTCATCTGAAAGGTTTCTATGTGTCTAGGAAAAAAACACCAATTAGCTGCCGTTTATTATGTGCAAAACAACAACCTGTGCAGGATCCTGAAACTACCGAATTTGCCTTGTGCGATCAGTAAAGTATCTAACCGTCTGATTTAAATCTTCACAGTAGCCTAACTTGTTTGTGTCTGTTGCATCTGTGGACAGTGATCAGGTTCCACTGCTCTTTTGCCAAGTTACTGCTGGGGAAACTCTCCTCATGCGCTTCTTATTAGTGAATCACCAAACTGCTGAAGCAGCAGCTCTTCGTCTGTCTGAGGGTCTGAAGCGCTCTTTGTTTTGCTGCCTCTCTCTTAGTCTTGCCTCACCTCAGCATGTCAAAACTCATTAAATCTGCAGCTCACTTTTCTAAAAATTAAATACTGAATTCAATTTGCAGATGATAACTAAAATGACATTGACTGTTTGGGGGGATTTCGAAGAAAACAACTCACAAGTAAATCTTCAAACTTTCAGAAAAACTCTGGATAGTCACTGGTACCTGCTGTTTGATAGATGGATTTACTATTTTCTAAGAAAAACATTGTTAATGGACAAAATCCACATTTTTACAAAATAACTATATTTACACAATTAATACATTTCACTGTAATAATTGTCACGGTCCTGTTTTTGAGTCGGAAATCCTTCAAGCTTGACTTTCTTTTTGCGTTCTGTTAGTGTCGCTCATTAAAATAAAAACAGCCAGGCTTATAGTTTTAGCTGGTGTAATGTCAAAAATATAGAATGAATTTTGCTAGACAGTTTGAACATATTTATTAAGTCCACTGAGCTTTAAAGCTAAACATGACGGTGAAATGTGTTATTTGAGGGAAATTATAAACACAAATAGAGGGGAAAATATCATTTTAGTCGTGTAAATCACAGGGACTTATTTGTATAGCTGAGTCAAAGATGGGCGTGTCACAGAAGCTGAATGTGTGGAGTGAGGAGATCAAGTGCAGACATGCGAAGAGACAAAAAAACATGAGCCATTTATTAAGGCTGTCAAAAATAATACAAACAAAAGGGCAGGGCGAGGGCGAAACCTAAACTCGGTGAACTAAAGCTTAACATAAAAGTGGACACGGACACCTGAAACATGAAGACTCGGCATGAATACATTCACCTGGAAACACAGCAGGACAAACGGATGAGGAATGAAGACTAAATACATAAAGGAGGTGATCAGGGGAAGTGGAAACACACGGGGAAACAGCTGATTAGAATGGACAGAATGACGCCACAGGGAAGTGAAACTAAACACACTGAACATGGAACACCAGACCTCTTCAAAATAAAACAGGAAACATTAAGACTTAAAATGACGAACCGAAGAGGAACACATTCACTATAAACATACAGAGGGAAAAGGGAACTGGAGATGAGACATGGAAACAGAACATGATGGCTGGGGGAAACACAAACAAAGACAAAGACATTACTGAAACACATGAAGAGCGAGGGAGACGAAGACACAAGGGGAATCTAATGAACAATGAACTATAACAGGGCAACCTGGGGAAAACAAAATGAGCTTAAATTAATTTAAACATAAATCATAAACCATCCAGCTATATTGAACTCAAGCACTGGGTCAACCAACCCAGCACCGTGACAGGGCCCTGAAATGCATTGTGAGAAGTCAAGCTCACTGCAGCTAAAGTATAGATAAGTCATGATCAGCAGAATCCTAGTGAACCATATTATGGATTCAGATATCTGTGGTCCTAAAGGTGTTGGTCTGCAGTAGCTCCTTCACATACATTATGCTTATGGAGTGGATGCATGCCTGTAAGAGTGCTGTCATGATTAGCAAAACCAAGGAGGACAAAGATTTCCTGAATTTAAAGGTCAAACATCCTGGAAATCTTATTACAGAGCAAATGATGGATGATGAAGGTATTTATAACGCTGGATGATGTATGCAGAAGTAAACATCGTCATCCCCAAATTTATTGCATGTACATGTGGCCTGAAGATCTCTCTGTTCACAGTATACTGCACACCTCTCTGTGTGGGACACTTGTGGGCAAACTACAGGAAAGTGAGAAACTACATGTAGCTCATGAGGCCTCGTGCATGGTGGTTTTTACTGAACAGACCGAGATGCTTCAGGTCAAGGCAAATTTTCGCAGCTGCTGAAAGTCAGCACATTTGATGCCTCGTTAAGAAATCTCATGTAAAATTTATTTGCAGGCTCAGATTTATTTGTGGGTTTAACAGTTATAAAGTTTGGCCCCAAACATCAGCCAGCTTTCTCTTTGGGTGTACTTTTATTTGATTTTATCTTGTTTGTTGTGGTTTATGTGACTTTGTGTTTTTCACTCTGTCTTTAGTCCCTTTATCTCTCCTTACCTTTCCACAACTTTCTGAGTTAACCTGAGTGTAATCCAGCCTTCTTCCTTGACAGTGAGAAATCATCCACTGTTAGTGTGAGTGTCTGCGTCCATGTTTGTGTGTCTCACCCCGAGCCCTCGGTCTTCTTTGTACTGGAGGAAGGCGTTGGTTGTTCCTTTCTTTGCCATGCGGATCCGAGCCAAGCGCACTTTCTGTTTGACAGAAATACAGGAAAACAGCAGCGTCAGCGCCTCACACACACAAACACACACACACACACACACACACACACACACACACACATTGTAGAGGAGCACATCATCTGTCTCTAAACTCATAATTTTTCAGGTGAATTGCAATTTTTGCTGCAAAGCTCCAGTTTTCGGGCTTTAAAGGTGTTTTTTAATAAAACTTTATTTTTTCAGCTGATACAATAGAAGCATAAAGATGCACCACATGTACGTTTAGGGTGCACCCAAAGAATAACAATGAAAACTGATGGGCATGACAGCTACACAGAAGTCAAGCCAAAATATCACAGCTGCCTCCTATTGGCTGGGTGCAGTATTAGTCATCGTGCCAGAGGTGCACAACACCAGGAGAAGAAAGCAGCACAGTTCAGTGAACTTAGAACTGAAGAAGCTTCTTGGATGAGAGAAAAATCTCCAAGAAACTTAGATTATCTTGACCTGGATGGCTGAGAACCCACACAGACAAAGCAGCACACAGTTTCAACATATTTTGATTTCATTTATCAAAAGTGGGATGAAGCAGCGATGCTGCTTATCTTGATTTGCTATTTCTGTTTGTGCAGTGTATTAAACATTTTATGACTCCACCCAAAAAGCAAAAAAATGACCTGATTTTTCACGCCAGTGTCGATCCTAAATGGCAAGTGGCTAGAACGGAAGCACTGAAAGGAGATGTTCAAAGAGATGGCCTTAAAGGGTTGCCTTGGCCTGTCAGATGTTCGCTAGACCTCAGTCAAAAGATAACTGCTCAGTGAGTAAATGAATCAATGCATGGCTGAAATGAGGTATCTCTGAAAACAAAAGTTTTCAGCCAACTTTAATCATAAAGGGATTTTGTTTTAAAGGCCACAGTATCTGATTAGACTCATCCCAGAACACAGCATGGATGGGTGGAGCTTGAAGAGGTCAAAGGTGGATGTTTAGTTACATGGTTTTTATTTGTGTTGTCTTAAACCTGCATCAGAACCTAGAAGCTGCAGTCTTACTTCTTGGTTAGACTATTTTGAACTCGATACTGAAACGTCAGAATCAGACCTGCTGTGCTCTCCTCTTGTCCGCTCTCTGGTTCTGGTGGTAGATCCGGCTGAAGTTGGACACGATGACAGGTACAGGAAGGGCGATCACCAGGACGCCGCTCAGAGAGCAGATCGATCCAAAGATCTTCCCTGCGATGGTGTTTGGAACCATGTCTCCATATCTGCAGAGAGAAAACGTTTTTCATATGAAATTTCCGAATAAATGAATCCATTGATTCCAAGCAGGAGGTTAAGCAAGAAGAAGACTTCTTTATGGTGATCATTACATAAATAGCATTATGTCGCTCCAATAAACTTTGAGGCTGCGATTTACTATATAAACATAATTTAGACAAACAAGTTCAATACTGGGAAAATGTTGCCACTAACACGAATCACTGAAACTGGATATTTATTAGATTTTAGAGGTTTTTTTCAATCTGTGGTATTAGTTAAAAGATAAATAGGCAAGTTCTCCACAAGATTACAGTGCCAGTGTTGAAAAGCTGCTCACACACACACTCACAAATTCCTGGTCGCTGCCTCATGCGGCCTTCACCTTTCATTGTGCTCAGCCATAAATCACAGGTAGTGAGACGAGGACAAGTAAGAGGAGGAGGAGGAAGAGATTAGAGAGCTGGCAGGAGGCCAGGATGCTTTGTGTGATTCTGCTCAGACACACCGACGGGAGAAACCTGCAGCTGCACCAGTCAACAGTTTACTATACAAACCAGTCAACAGTTTACTATACAAACCAGTCAACAGCTAGAAGCTGATTGATGCTCAGCTCCACCTGTTTACTTTGTTTCTTTAAGTAAATATTCAGAGAGATATGATCAGCAATCGGTCCTCCGGTTTAAGAAGTGTCGTTGGATGATGCAGCCAAAGTCTCATTTTTGAAAAGTTTTCTTAGCTTTATTAAAGCAGAGATAAGCCTGAGAAATCACGGGCCGCGGCGTGCTCATATGATAGCCGTTGGTTAATCACAAGGTAGTATAAAGCATACTTGGCTCTGTTGTGCTTTTTGACTTTAAAGGGGATCATATTTGAAAAATGAACATCATGTTATATTTAATAAGGCTTGAAATGGGCAGATGAAACCATAAACTCATCAGGAAAAGTGGATCAAAGGAGCCAAAGGTCATTTTTCAAAACGTCTTTACAGCAGGACTACTGTTTTTTAAGGTGTTTGGACAGGTTTCCATTTTTGGATTCAGAAGTTATGTAATTGTTTCATATGCAGTCTCTGAGTAGTGATCTGTAAATGGCTCTGAGTCAGATGAACATTCATATATATCCATTTAAAATTACACTTTTTTTTAGCTTAGTTTATTTTATGGGAAATCTTAAAAAAAAACTGCACCACGTTTCATTAACGTTTCCTTTTTGCTTCCTAACCTACCTGTACTTTGTATTAGGATCTGAAATGAAACATTATCACACAATAACTTTGAAATGCTGCAGTAGTGTTTATTTGTATTTCTTTTAGCATCAAAAACCTTATTTTAGAAAGTTTCTCCAGAGAGACGTAAAATCTCTCATAAAGTTGTTATTATAATTAAGTCCTCAGTGAACTATGTACCAATCATTATTACTCAAAGAAATTATTTCTTTCCAGCTGATTAAATGATTAATTTGTAAGAACACATTCCCGTTTTTTTAACTGGTGTCTGTCTCACTGTGGATTTAACTCTTTATATTACACATATGCAAATCAGCACAGGTTGTACAGTAAATCAGATATGTAGGTAATGAACTGCAGCTCTCTGCTTGTGTACCTGCTGCATTATATATCCGTCCTTCTCAAAATAAGGCCGCGACCTTGTCTGCTGTGTGCTGCTCAAATCTTACAAGCCATTTTATTATTTTCCAAAATTTTAAAGCTAATTTTAAAGCTGTGCAGTTGCTCCTCCTGAAGATGAGTTTCATAATGAATTGCTTCTCATTCTTGGCATAAATCCTGTTTTCTAAATCTAATTCCACATGTACTGAAGTGCATTCAGCTGACTGACAGACTGCACAGAATGATTTGCATTTTCCCCTCCTTCCTTCATAGCTTTTCTTTATAGTCCATATACCCTACACTTTACCTCCTAGTATAAAGTGCAGAGATGGTCCGCATGGAGCCAGAACATCCTGAAGTTTAATCATCGAGAAAATCCCAGGTTCCTTATCTGCTCTCTTACTGGATCAAAATTTCTGTATCGAGGTGTAAAAGACAGACATTCGGTGGTATCAGTGTGTGTTTGCTGATTTCCTTTTTTTCTCTATTAATCGGTTTACTCTGCGGTTAGTTCGAGGCCTTGATTTCAAATGACCTGGACTCTGAAAGCTAAACATTATGCAGTGGTACTGAAAGACAAACACCGTGTGCTAAAAGCCATGTTTGAGAAGCTGGAAGTATATTATTTCTCCTAAAATGAGCCAGAACACGCTCACCAAACCTGATCCTCTGCTTTTTGAAACCAGAATTTCCACACTTCCAAACATCGGCTCAGACCTGCATCCCACCGTGTCACTCACATAAAGCACAAAGACAGAGTGAGACACTTCTGAAACAACTAATATGGATCTTTTAGGCCCTCTCGCTGGTCGACTTTCCACTCTCCAAAGCTAAATGACTTTAGCTAAGTGATATGCAGTTAATTGTTAAGATGCATCTTTCACCCAGCTCTGTGCTTATTCTTAAATTCACTGGACTCCTGGCTGAGGAGAGTGCATCACTGACTGTAATTCGCCGGGAGCCGAGGGCGTGCTGACGGCACGCGGGTCAGTTTTACTGAACCTCCAGTGTCCTCAGCCGGGAGACATATTGGCAGCTGGGAGCAGATCAATGGAGATAACAGAGGGCAGAGAGGAACAGAAGTCATCTGTAATTGTTGGCAAAAAGCACTCAGAAGAATCGACGGAGACGTCAGACTGCGGCCAAACAGCCAGGATGAATCTGTGCCGGATCTCTAACTGAACTCAGCCTGAACATCAGAGAGGCCTGTATCTGGATCCTCCCTTCTTCATCATTTCTCAAGTTTTTACATAATTTTTACTTCAAGGTTTGTAAAATAAGCACAAACTACAATTTAATGACATTTTAAAGCATATGTATGTGTGAAAAGTGTGCAATTTACAGAAAAATATACAGCCTGGGGTCCGATACCCAAAACTAATATTTAAATTTTACTATATTTCATCTCATTTTCATCTCTAGGCTTGTCTTGATCTCAACAGTGGAAATACAAAGAGGAATATATGGAGGACACGAGGACAAACGCTGACATGAAACACAGGCAGGCAAGGAGGTGGAAGTAAAGCAACAGGTAACATCTAATAAAAGGTAACAAAGAACTACAGCAGTGAAGGAAACAGACAAATACAGACACATGAAACTGCAAAAGACTAAAACACAGACGTAACAGCACAGCACACATGGTCAAGGACACACAGATACTATAAGATCAAACGTCATAGACCAACACAGTGACTAAACCCTACTGCCTACATCTAACCAACATGTTAAAGCTAAGTAAACAAAAACAAGTTGTGAGTCTTCCCTTTCTGGAGCTCGTGCACTGTGGTAGATTTATGCCAGGCCAGTTCCCTTCCAAATGTAGACTAAGTCTTTATGACTGTGGCAGCGTCACCATCAGGATATTAGTATGCTCCTAAATAACCTCCTATTGGCTTTGTTTCTGTGGTGCTGGCACAAAATTTTCACAGGAGAAAACATCAGAGCAGAAAGAAAACATCTCAGAAATCTCATTTTCAGACAGCAGCATAGTTCAGGAGTTTAACCCGAAATACTGATGAAGGGCGAAGTCATAAACTTGCCAACTTCCTACAACTCCTGATGCTGTAGAACAAGATGGGAAAACAGGCAACGAGCTGCTGCCAGCCGTGTGAGTACAGCTCAGAATGCAAATGAATGTAAATGGAAATGAACCGCTCTGTGACGGGCAGACGGCCGACCGGAGCATCTGCCAGCTGTTTAACTCCGTACAGCTGGAACAGCAGCCTCATTAGCCTGCACTTTATGGACCCTGTGATTCATGCAATTGTTGAAGAAGGAAGAAAGAGCCTGCACATTCATCAGGTGCTACCATCATTAGAGGTGCCCTAACAGCCAAGTCATTTTTCCCCCCGCGGGTGCTGCAATTTAATCAGTTCAACAACAAATTTACATTCCCTCGCAAATGTTGAAAACTAAATTGGATTTCATTGGCGATTTGTATGGATTTACAGAAAAAATCCAATTCAAACCAACTTCTAATAGCCATCTTATCACAGATGCTTCAAAACTCTCATTAAAACTTGTAAAATGATTTTTTTTTCAAATGGTGAGCGCAGCCGTATACAGAAAAACAACATTTATAAGCTGCAGTATTACAGGCGGCAGCACAAATGGATTTTCAGGTGTAACAAGAGGATGATACAAACGCTTTAAATCAGTTAAGCAGCTGTGAAACTAATATTCAGCACATCACTCATCAAGCCAGCTAACCCCAAATGTTCATGACCTTTTTCCTGTTTTTGGATAGAAGGGCTTGAGACAACAGAGATAGAGCTTAACTTTTTCCTTTCTGGGTTCAAGCAGATACCTGTCTGTTAGTATTACTGACATCCACTACTTGCATTTTAAGGTGTATCCCACAAACCAAATAGCAGATAGACTTAGCCTCCTGTGGGACTGCATCATGGGGACTGTAGTAACCTCTGTCTCTCTTCCGCAGCATGTCTTTATCCTGTCTTCCTTCTCTCACCCCAACCAATCACAGCAGATGGCCCCGCCCCTCCCTGAGCCTGGTTCTGCTGGAGGTTTCTTCCTGTTAAAAGGGAGTTTTTCCTTCCCACTGTCGCCAAAGCACTTGATTGTTGGTTTTTTCTCTGTATGTATTATTGTGAGTCTACCTTACAATATAAAGCAGCAACTCGTAATGCTCTTGGAGCTAAATAAATAAACTTGAATTAAATATATTCTGGGTTGAAACTTTTAAATCTTTTTTATTATTAATATTTTTAGTAATAAATCTCAGCTCTGTGAATGTGAAATATAAAAGAAATTACAGATTGACAATGATTTCATTTTTAATAAAAAATGACTGATGCTGTCTTTTCAATCTATCTTCTACCTGGTGATTTTTGAATTCGTTTTTTGCATTTCTACTAAAACTGAAATATTCTTTAATAC